GCCACTTTTAACTCTTTATCTTTTAATCACACTTTCATGGTGCCACCTTCTTTATACTCTACATGAACGTGGGGTGGTTCATCCAAGTCGGAGGAGTAAAAGAAAAATACTAAGCCCGCTTCTTCATAAATGGTTGGCATCTATATTTATATTTTAATTTTATGACAAATTACAACCTCCAAGACTTCAAAAACTGACTCAATGAAAAACCCGAAAGGCAAGAACACTTAGACTGAGGTGCACCATTTAGGATAGGCTTTGGTAAAGGAGCAGAATACTTTGATGCTTTCATAGAAGGTAGGGCTTATAAAGAGCAAGTATCTTTCAATGATCCAGATTGTCAATTATATTATCATTATTACCAAGTAGCTCAAAAGTGATTACAAGAGAGAGAGAACAAAACAACAAAAATAATATGACAAAAATTCAAGAATGACTAGATAAAAAATACCCTAATAAATCAGAAGTAAAAATAATAGTAATTGATGTATCTAAGGAATTTTTAGAAACTGTTTCTGTTGATAAGCTAGGCATTAGCAACTGACCTAACTTAGAAGAAATCTCCTTTTTGAATTTGCTTAATCCACCAGGCAGTATTGCTGATTGTGAGACCTTTTTCGAAAAAAATAAAAGATTTTTAAAATCTCTCGTGATTGACAACTGCCCACAACTTAGTAAAATAACTAGTCATTATATCATTCAAATTGAGCAATTATCATTGACTAATTGTCCTCAATTAAATTCTCTCTTTCTTAGTAATGTTGGTCTAGAAGCAATAACTATTAAAGAATGTCCTAATCTTGATTTATTGGATTTAACGGGTAATAAACTAACTCACCTCGATTTAAGTGGATTACCAGAATTAAAATGATTAATAATAAATGATAATCAATTAAATGAGTTAGATATTAGTCAGAACACTAAATTAAGAAAGTTTGTTTGTGATACCCAGGTGCAACCTATTCAGACCTTAGTCCAAAAAATTAAAGATACTGAAACTAAACTGA